CTTATTTTACGTAGTAGATATGGAAATGATCAAAGATTTAAAGTCACGTCGGTAATAAATTATTATAGATCGATTGCAAAGGTGAATCGATAGAATTTTGAAAATTATTCTTTATATACATGTACTAGTAGTATAAGTACTGCAAATACAAATATAAACGGTAAAACAATTTATTTTTATATCAATACATACTTAAAATGTGCGAATTCAACCAGCCACTATTACTTGTTGAAGTACAGATAATGATAATCATCTTGATTCATTACTGGGAGTATCATAAACGGCTGTTTATTAAAATTTTACAATAATAGTACTGTAAGTAGAAAGCTTCCATAATATCTCGTTAATAGCTTTTAAAAAATAGAGAATGACGAAATTTTTCGATGTAAAGCACTGTATGTACTAATACCTTAACTATTACTTCATTTTTCGTTCGATATTTTAACGAATTTCAGTCCGTTGAGTAGAATAGTAATTGAACGAACGTAATAATTGAAAGCAAAATTACTGCAGTCTATAGATTTACACAGTATGATAACAGCTTTGGCCATTAGCCTGTTCGCAACGTTTTAAAAATTTTATTGGGCATCCGTATACAGATCAACTGTTTAATAGAGTTAGAATTTATATTTATAGTTTTGAAATTCATCATAATAACTAAAAATGCATCGTCACAATGTGAGAAAAATTAAATCAAGATCGGCCATAAACCAACTAATTAGTGAGATGAAGTATGAAACGTGTTAATGGCCTCGATATGAACAGATCAAATTAAGATAATCAATTGGCATTGGCAATAACAGTTAGAAAAAGCTCCTTCTGAGGCTCTGATTTATAATTAGAAGAAATCAAAACGTCGAAATTGTTAATTTTTAGCTGCTATAGTATTAAATGTATTACGTACTATCTAAACTGAGTATCGATTGAAGAACGGAAAGTAACAAAATTCATCTAATACTCTGCTTCTTATTATTTTAATCTTAATCTGGTTAAGTTTAAACCTTAAATTAAAGTTAATTCTATTACTATTTTTATGTATTTACATTTTAAAACGGTAAAAACTTATTATAATCTTCTGAAATAAATTCATATTGCTATATATAAAGAACAGGTATAGTAGGTTTTTATTAAGGAGAAATAGTAAGGTGATAACTATGTTTTTATGTATATACATACAGCATACAGATATTATACCTGATGCTATCGTTGATACCGAAAATATCCCTGTTGATTAGGTTTTAGAAGTTGTTCTATTCTATTTCATGATTTTTGAATTGATATGTATGCAATGCTGTTAAAGCAAGAAGCAAAGTAGAAGTGCGTCTAGTATTATTTTTATGGGCGACCAAGTGAGATATAGTAATCAGTAGCGTTTGTACGCTGCATATTTGACTGATCTAAGAAAGAAATAAGTATTTATTGATACGGTAGGCTTATAGTGTAGAAAAATCATATGCCAGTCATATTAAAGAGTAACCATTCTACTGTCTCGGTCTTGTTGAATCGTTAAATTTATCCCTGCTGCTAATAACTGCTCTACAAACTGTTAATATTTACTCCTATCGTGTGCTCAAGCTTCCACTTTATTAGCTGGCTTGTAAGTAACGAAAGCCGATGGATTATTGCTATAGGTTTGCGACATCGGAAATTGATGACTTTGCGGATAACTAACGATAATTGGATTTTCGTTATGATGAGAGCGAAGATTTTGAAGAGGGATGGTATTATTACTATATCGTGGAACAGGCTCAACGAAGACAGGAACTTGTAAATAAGGATAATTCACTGCTGGAGCTACTGTAGTTCGGTTTACTTCCTACAGTCACAAAAGGAAAAATTTTATGTTTATATGTTGAACGAGAATGAAAGTGACCATAAATTTATATTGCGTTTATAATACAGCTGAATTAAAATAGTAACTTAAAATGAAATTCGTCAACACTTTTTACCTCGGTTGTCAAAGTCCGGCAACAATCGTAACTTACAATGGAGGTTTTAGTCATACTGCAAACAAAGCCTACAGCTAGAAAAGCGCTAAGATAAACAGAAATCTTCGTTCTTGTTCCATATAGGTGAAGAGCAAATGCTGTAGCTGATGTAGCCACTGCCATACAAGACAAAATTACTCTTGCTGCAGCCTAACAGTTTCAATTATTCATTCAAGTTAGTACAATTTCGCAGTATAGCTATAGCAGTAAACGTAGTGATCGTAATCTAGGATTATATATTTAAATTCAGAAGATGATAGATATAATGCACGTGGATTAATTGCAATTAGACTTGTTAATTTAATACAGCCTTTTATCATGAGAATCTAAGAATACCAACCAAGTTCTTATTTTTGTACTTGAAGACATGAAACAGTACACCAAGTATGCCACTACACATTAACTATATAAATAGGAATAGCAAATTAATAAGAGATCGAAATGCAACGAATAAAAGACAAAATCATCAATTTAGAAATTGATATGATATAAAATATCTAGAGGTTACTTCATTTATCTAACATCGGGACAATTTGATCGGAAATTATAGTAATAATTCTTAATTGTTCTTTTCGTATATATCCCAATTCTCCAGGAAAGGTTAATCGTAAAATGCTAACATTTATCTAACAGATAGCGAATTTTATTCTATTTAACCTATACCATCAGCTAGCTCTCAGATTTACTGACTGTTTCATAATTAATTTTTTGGCCGTAATATTTTGATTTATCTACGTACTCAATTCTTTTAATCGTTGCTAAAGTTGGTGAATTTATGGATTATACTATTTAATAATTTGATAAATTTTATGGTTAAACCTCGTTCTTAGTTCAAGCTTGCAACTACATATACAATGGCTATTAATTCAAAGATTCAAAGATTTGATCACTTTTTACTTCTTTTTTATAGATAATCTTCTCCTAATGTACCATACGACACATTACTGTGGCTAATTAAATGTTATATTGAGATTTATCCAATACAATTTGGTAGCATATCATCAGGTATCATTTGATTTTAAGAAATTAAATAATATGGCTAATGTGAAGCTTTCAAATATTAATACTTTAGTTCCAGAATTAAAATGTAATTAATATACTTGGACATTTCCATAATAGTGAAGTAAAATGTATAACATAAAAGCTAAAGTACAGCAAGCTATCTTTTTTTATTTATAGTATTAAAAAACTAATACTAATAAAATTATAGTTAATTTCAGGAGATAAGACTTTGTTCATATTTAAAAGCAAAACATGATGTTTACGCGATTATATATATACTGGAAAGCATACAAGTAACGAAAAATATTATTATACTTACAAAAAAGCCACTCCATATTCCTCCTGCACTCACTAAGCCAACATTGCTATCTTCTTGACGTAGAATGAAAGCTACGCTGCCGGTAATTGATGCACCTAGTCCACTAATAATCTGAAAAATGCTCGTAGCTAAAAGGTATCTTGGTATTCTCGAAGTTGCTGCTGGATGGATATATTGCATTTTTTTCTTACTGAATACGGGTATAATGCAATTTTCAAATAGCGAAGTGGACAAATCTGCTGCCAAAATCACTAAATATGTTGATAGCTGGAAAAGTGCTACTCAGTGCTGTTTATTTTGTATTTAGCAAGAATACTTGCTTGACAAAATCTGCAGACAATTATATTGGACTAAATTTTAATGCAATAAGACTTCGTTTAATTTGGCCAGATTTTCAATAATCAGCACCCTTCTACAACAGGCTTAGGTTGCAAATAAGACAATTTATTGATATTTTGCATAGGTGTACACTATTACATTATTACAATATAAAACATATGGGCAGAAATTTAAGCTACCTGCGACTGAACACAAGATAAAGTAAGAGAAGTTGCTTAAAATGCCTCATGGCCATTGTAGCCACGGAATAATACGGAAAGCTGCTTTATATTGTCTTATCTACAAAATGACTGAAAGCTTAACTAAAAATATTTAATTAAGAAATTAATTAGATTAAAATGAAAATTTTAGAATAGTTCATTTTATAATCATGATTCATAGCATAGCCTTGGGGTCATACCCTACGATGCTGATGCCACCAAAAATCATCTATTTCGATTTCTTTTTTACACTTAGGCTTTCTTAGTTCTCTAAAATTATCCCTTAGATTAGGAACCTTATACTCAAATACTGATTTAAAAATTGAAATGAGTTATGATTTTATTTATAACAAAGTCCTGAAGCCATTGTCTGTACTGCTAATACCAGCATAAACCTTCTATAGTATTTCGATTTATACTTTTATAGCAGTATCTTTATCCCCTAAATCTATCCTTAAAAATAATCTTATCTCAAATATTAATTTAAAAATTGAACGGAATCGCGATTGTATCTCTAGTCAAATAAAGATCAATATCAAGCATATGCAAAAATAATCCTACTTATATCCAGTTACATAGCTGGATACGAAAAAGATAGTTGCAAAGTGGATTTGCAATAAAAATTTCGAGCGTAGTAATCTGTAGATTAAGAAAAGTGGTCAATACTTGTAAATTTTTACAAGTTGATGCAATGGATATAAATATTCCGAATAGAGATTTGTGATATTGGCAATCTTAAATTCTACAACAATTACTAGCCTAGAAGCATTATCGTAAATTTATTCATTGCCATTTTCATTGCACATCTTAATGTGTCCTAAAGCTTAGCATGCCATTCCAAATGAATTTTCCTTCCATATTAATGGTAATATTAAAGACGATTTAAATAGTCATTGCATTAACCTTTTCAAGCTGACACTGCCTAAATTCGCCATGATTGATGTGCAGAAATACTGCAAGTAGGTTGTAATAACACCATGGAATAGGATCTTAAGAATAACTAATATCAACGCATATTTTTCAAGCTCTATTTCTATGTCGAAATCTGTAGTAATATCATATTTCTGCGGAATCATTCATCCTGATATATACTGTATACAGAGAGAGAAAATAAAGGAAAATCTCATTTTAGAATGATTTTAGGGAATGCTCTATTCTCAATTATGATATACCATGTAATTTTTTACATACCTTAAGCTGACTTACACATTAATTGCTAAGGATTATTAACCTTTTTAAATCCTAATATTAAGTATGCCAATTTGCATGACGGTGCAACTGATCAGATTCGGAAGAGTAAAATTTTATAACATCCAAAAATCGATTAGCACTGGAATAAATTGCACGTGAAAAGTACCCAATTATACTTTAATTTAATTGATACTGTCCATCAAGCAATAAGTAATGTACAATATTTATAGAAAAGAACGTGCCCACTCAAATTCCTAAATTATTTAAAAGCTGTGGATTTTTTATGACGTAAAACATGAAGATGTAAAGGGGTAAATTTCAGTGAATCTTTTTTATACCAAATGATTAACAAGATATCGACTTGTGATCAATAGTTATGACTCACTGACGTCATGACATCGATAGGGAATAGGTGGCTTAACTTTACAAAACTTGCTAAATATTATTTAACATCTCATTAATTACACAATTCACATTGAGATTAGTGAAACATCGAAAAAACTTCATTTTATGAACAGTAATAGTTTATAATTTAATTTTAATAATAAAATACGATATAAATCCGGTGCCAAATAAAACTCGTTTTATCGATCGGTGCGGTAGTTACAATGGTCAGATATCCTGCTACTAAATTGAGTGAGCCATCTTAAAACACTCACTCAAATTACATTAGATTATTCGCATAACCTGTATGATGTTGCTTCAAACAAACATAAGCAAAGCAGTCTACGATTTAGTACAGTACTTATATACTATTAATACCGCACCTAGATATAAATTACTGAAATGCTAGAAATAATCGATGAGGTTGTTAACAACTTTTCAGAAATAACATAGGTATAATTCGATGCATACTTATTTATAAATTAGAAGCTATGACTTTTATAAATAATTTACCGTACTCACATAAATGGGGGCCCTAGCTAAATTTACACTTTCAATTGACCTAAGTATAGATCCTATAAATTTATTAAACTTGTCTATCAGTAGATTCATGAAACGAATGTTAGTTTCGTATAAGATCACTTCATTTTTGCAGCTGTTGTGAATCTTTCATTGAAGTTTCGATAACAAATTGCTTCGATAATACTGAGCATAATCTAACCAATTGCTTAGCCATGTTTAAGATAAGATGGAATTGCTACTCTTCATGGCTAAATTGACCAATGCTGTGTTACAGCTCTTTCCTCTATCAATACATAGAATATTGATTTTTAGCAACATTTAAAAGTCGACCTTGTCTCATTTCTTATCTAGAAATGGACTTGGAATTGCAATTTATTAACTATGAGCTATTGCACACGCAATGATTTGCTTGATATTGATAACTGTCAGATTTCATTCTTATTAGAATAAGAATTCGTTGAAATTTTTCGCGCAAGTGTGACCAAATTTTCGTTATTTACAGGAGAATCATTTCTTACCTACATCAGAGCTTGTTGAAGAAGGTATGTTTATCAATATGTTGACAGTAAGCCATTTTAAGTCCTTTACAACGATCATTTGCTCATTTTGCGTATACGACTAGAAAATTACTTCGATATAAAATTTGTCTATGTCATGTTATTTAAATGTGCCTATAATTCAAGCTGCTATCGGCTTCCAACCCATTTTCTTCTTAGTTCAGGAAGTATGATTCATCTTTTCGTTTCTCCATAAATTATTCATGAATTTCTTTGAATACATCTTTACTTATTAATAGAATAAGTTTTACTAGCCGTCTCATAGAGTAAGACCATAGATTAGACACAAACTAATATAAGTAACTCCATTAAAGAGTTGGGAAAAGATCCATAATTGATTTCAAATGTTTGCATCATCGGCTACTCCACCCGGTAATACAGATAATCGACGTCCATGAATTACTTTCCCACTTTCACCTTCACCGTTTTTTCTGAGAATTTCATCGTAGTCTTCAATAACAATTGTCGGAATTTCTAGCTCTCCCATCCTTTCTTTCTAATTATAGTTCAACATAGTATCATAAATTAGATTTGTACCTATTACCAAGCTTTTTTCCTTGCAACAATATAATTGTAAGTACTCTATTTGTTTTATAGAGGTACACACTAATATAAGTTGGTTATTATTTATAGCATAACACGAAGGTATACATTGTTAATGCTCATAACAAAATCAATTATTAATAGTAGCGGATATTTTTGTAAAAAAATAATTTGTAATAAAATAACCATTTTAGAGCACTCAATGACGAAAGATTAGAATACAGTGTGACATTTCCTTTGCTTACCTTATGATCCGAACAATTTACATTTATGCAAATAATAACCAAACTAATGGCTAGACCAATCAGGCTAATACATGTAGCCACTAAGATTGGAACATCAAGACCTGGGCCAAAGTGCATAACCATCTCTAGATCTACAAAAAAGGGAAAGCTTTCTATTTCTTAAAATAATTGTCAATTTATTCTCCCAAGACAGGCCACAGATGGAAATAATCCTACTAGCAAAACAATATTGTATGCAGTAATATAAGTATTTTTCAATTCTTACGGATAACTATCAAGCTTAAACCCTGATCGTATAGTTAGATAACTTTAAGTAAATGGAAAAGCTACAAAACACTTAGGAGCTTTTATAGCAAATTTTTGAGAAGCCATTTTACATAATTAATCATTTATCATGGCGTCAAAAACAATACTAAAGATTGAAATTGTTTTATCTAGTATTGATGCCTTAGACTGAATAGAATTTAGCAGAAATCTTATGAATAAGTAACTAACATAAATAATCCCATTTCCTATCTTGCTATATTTTATAGAATCTATTAGGCTGATCAATGAATATCAGTCTACAAGTGTACGTAAAAATTTTAATAGAGTAGAAGAACAAAAATAAAGCATCACTGATTGGGCTCCTAAGATGTTCATAACATAATTTTTGTATTTAATTTCCAGTAACTGAGTTATTTCTTGTTGTCATAGCTAAATGTTGACATTGGAATCTAGAATGTAAGGATATTAATAGGCTGAAGGGATATTACTAGAACGTAATCCTTCAGTATACACTTACTCATTGTGATGATCCAGTAAATACTATTTGTTAATTCTAACAACTCCGAGCAAGGTACTACCGTACCGATCTCAATTATTGAAGTTAAAGACTGCCGATGATAGCTATATTTGCTTGTTTTCCTACTTATATGGTGTTTTCTGATTAAATGTTTATTAAACTGTCTTACGAAATTGTAATATAGTTTCCTATTGCGGCTTAACTATTAGGTTGACTCATTTTACACTGTAATTGTATCATATTTGTTCTTTGCTTACAGTATAGTCTGTATATCAATGTGAATAGGCATAAAACGATTTCTAGCCAACCCGATTTAGAAATTTTTATCGTTATTACTATTCGGATAGATTTTCTCGATCTCTAAAGAAACCATGTTAGCATATTATGAGTTTATAGGTTCAGAAAAATCTCAAGAAAATTATGATTGCCCAAAAATCTATATAAAATTGAATTTTAAGTCTACGTATAAACACTACTTTTGCTATCCAATGTGTTCGATATTTTTGAACGTATTATAGGTACGCTAGTATAATATTAGACTAACTGTACGTGTTATCTCTCTCTATAGTTATTGCTTTATAGAAATTAGAGAACGAATAAGATAATAGCGTGGGCCTTCTGCAAATAGAATTTAATTACAGTTTTGATATTATTGCCAGAAGAGTAACAACATAGATAATATTTCTTCTTATAGTATAAAATTACTAAATCTAGTACATTTATTAGATAATCTAGTATTAGGTGATTAAAATATCAATGTTATGGCCATGTTTTATGCTAACTAGAGCTAATTTAAATAATAATGTGACTTAGCGATTCTATTAATCTGATGCGTTTTAACCTTTACCGTGTATGTGGAATAACTCTAGGACACGATAGCAAAACCAGTCTTCACTTTAATCAAAGAAATCTATACCTTTGCTTACAATATATCCTATTGATTTACTAATATTAAAATTTCCAATTTACCTTTTATAGAAGACTCATCCGTAAAATAACGCTTTATTTCAAATTTTCTGGTACACATTAAAATAGAAGTTCTTGAGTACTATTATATCTTTTAACTTTCTCACACGGGATTCATAACATTCGTGCTATGTATATAAATTTAGTTATAAACATATGTCTTGCAATATGGTAGATTAATCATTTGTAATTATGCAGCCAATCGATAGAATATAATTAAATCAAAACTGTAAGGCTGCCTTCCTAGTCAATGCAATTAGCTATCCATACTGGGTCTACTACCCTCCACTTGTAACATAATTCTACCGGCTAATTAATTTAAACACCCCCTGTACATATAGAGACTCAGCACCTAAATTTGAATTCATCGCGCCTCTTATACTGTACGTTAGAAACAATTAGCTTTCAGTAGCACTAACAGCAAAGTACGATTGAGCGTTTATGTCTTTGACAATATGTTATAGAGACTTTACTTCAGTTTTAATGATCAGATGCTAAGGCCCCATGTTGCGATATCATTTTTGAGATAAAGTGCATTATTTCTGGCTGTTGCAGCTCTAAAATAGCACTATTGCTCACTAGCTCTGTGATCGCTAGAATTCAAGATCAATTTAGGTTATTACAAATACGTTAAAGGAGATAAATATATTTCATGATCATTTTTATTTTCGTTCTAGTTCTAGAGAAGAAAGTAGATAATTTTAAGATAGGAATTATGACAAATATACTTAGTTTGTTAATAAAACAGTCTGAACTGTCAATACTTTATGTTACGTATTTTCTAACAAAAATCTAATTGATTAATGTTGCCGCGTTTTGATTAATTCAGCTAGTAGTATAAATTTAAAACTATTTCATCACATCTCCATATTATAGCAATTTCGAAAGATAAAAGATTTAAATTTTCTATCACGGAAAATAGACATTTATAATTATTAACCTATGAACAAACAGCAACGCAAATCTTCTACCGCTTGAAATTCATCTTTATCGACCAAAAATCACGTACCATTCATTAATACGGGTGAGAATTACTTACATTTGATCCAATTATTAGATAATTATATGTGAATGATTTATTATAACGTTAACAAACAGATAGTATCAACTTTTAAACAGTGGAAATGGTGCTTAATTAAATTAAATTCCATTTGCTTAGAGATGCTGGCTGATAAAATAAGGCTACGATATGCTCTATTTTAACGTAATTGCAGCATATTTAGCACATACATATACATACGTAACTAAGAATTTATAGTATTATCTAGTCCCTTTGCGACTATAATAGATTATTTCAAAAACTCTGCTTCTAATTTTGGTCTCATGACATCTGTACCAGACCACTAATGAAATTTTACATTGTATTTGCTTATCTTCTATCAAGCTCTCCTACACAATACAGTCCTAATATACAAGCTTAGAATAACTCAAATAATTTAAATACAGAATATTATATTAATTTCCGTCTGAAAATTGAAAAAATAGAATAGATCAGATGAATAATATTTACATTCAACTGGTAAAATGTTTATCTACATATGTCATCTATCGTAAATTTGATGTCCAAGTCTACAAAAACATTGATTAGTTCCTGAGTACATACAGTACTGCACATACAAGTTGGATATTCGCCTGAATAATATACAAGAGATTTTTGTGTGTAGTACAATACTTACGCTTGTAAGCTTGTATCTGAAGTAGCTTCTACAAACTATAGTTAACTATACTGTACTTTTATGTACCTATCTCTTCTAAGCGATGCAACCAAAACCTGGCTTATACCCTAATTTAATGTTTAAAGTTTAATCGTACTCAGATGTCGGATGGTAACTATATTCAAAATCTAATTTATACCTATTAAATACTGAATACATTTCCAAGCTCAATTGTATCATTCTCTTTAGGCAGTGCCGCTTTATAGAGTTTTATTAATTACATAATATGCTACTGTAAGTAATGTCTAAAATACAACTTCAGTTCAGCATCGCTACATTTTATTTAGCTTTCTTCCAATAATAATCACCATAGATATAGGAGCGTACTGTTCAATTTAATTTAAATTAATTACGAAAAATTTTCCATTACTAAGTTGCAAGACAATAGTTATCGTTAATTACGATCTGTTCTATAAAAGAATAAACTAAAGTTAAAAATTGTCTTTTGTGATAGAAATGTGGTGCATATTAATAAAAATACCGTGAATAAAATAGCAGTGATAAGTATCACAAAGCAGAACAATAGTTAGGATCCTTTTTAATAAGCAAAGTTATTCCGTTCGTCTATATTAAAGTTTGAATTCAGTTAGAGTTAAAATCATCGACAATGTTAACGATTAATAAAACATTGCATGGATATTCCACGACGTCAATATTTTGTTAGTTCTTTGGTAGAGATGCCGTATTTCTACTTTAAGCTATGCTTATGCCATAACTTAAAAGAATAGTTATTATAATAAACCGGTTAAATGAGTTTGTACAATTCCAATCACCAAGTCCTGAATGAGTTTAAAGATCATGATGGGCACTTTTGCGATGCTTTTCTTAGCACATGAAGATTCCACCTGTTTGATCATTTAAATCTCAATTCTTTAATATCGAAAGTAAAATTTTTATACTTGATTTCAGTATTAATACTATCGACCCCTTCAATTAGCCAAGCTATCGCGTGGGCTATAGTTCAACAATGAGCTTGATCGTTTAAAACTCGGACTTTTCGATGATCTTGCCTGACTTTCGAACCTCTGGTATATAAATTAAGATACAGAGATTATTTAAGCTTCTTTTGCATAATATTTTAGAAATTATATCGTATTTCAGTATATGTAAATGCGTCTCAACTTTTATGAAGTGCATCAATTAGTTTATTATATTTTAATTTACCTATCCTGTAATTGGCATCATCGTATATATCTTGACCCATCTTTCTATAAGCTAAGCTATGATTTATGCTAGCCCAGGTCCCTTTTTGAATTAAAGACTATTAATGAAAAGCATATTTTAGTACGATATCAGTGCTTTAATCAAATTTTACAATTAACGTTATTGGTAAATCACTCCAAAAATATGAAATTCATGCCTTAACTGGTCGTTGACTATTATATTAACATCACTATGTCTTTCAATGATCCAAGCAGCCTTAAATCTAACTTACTAAGTCATCACGGTAGCAATAAACCCCACAGCCGATCATTAAAGCAGTTGTAACAGATAATAAAAATCCAACTCCGATCAAAACATCCGCTGCAATATTGAATGGGCTATGGAAACCAATACCCAAAAATAGAGTTACCAAACCGAAAGCATTAGTAACCGCAGCAAAGATAGAGAGTCCATAAAACCATTTGGTCTAAATTCATACAGTACATAAATAATGAGTAACTACAGATTTTAAGAGTTCAGAATTAACATTAGATGTAAAACTAAAATTCTCTTTATCAAATTTGAATAAAATTCTACATAGCAAAGGACAATATTCATAGGAGACCAGTACTCTGTACTGTTTTCACTACGTCAAACCGCCAGTAATAATAAAAAATTAGCGTAGAACTGGCATAAGTAAACTACAAGACTAAGTGCTCTGGTTCTACGATTGGCTTTATTGGTAGTTAAAAAATTATTAACTTATGCTAGATACATTTCTTTGTAAAATATAAATGGCACGTATTCGCAAGAGATTAGACTTATTATTAGCTTTGGAAGCCTTTGTAACAATAAACTAGTAAATTAATCACTTTATCCTGAGCTATTGTGAAGTAAGCATGATGCTAACTTACGTGTGCAATACTATCGCGATAACACAAATTCAACAGTCCAGAGATTCCAGAAAGAGTAACCTAATAGAAAAAATTGACAAAAGTACTGATATTATATCCAGCTATCTAGCGAAGATATAGCAAATCAGTTTCATCACCAGATTACAAATCCGTGAAGGTAATATATAATATAATCTTGTAACGTTTCAATATTAATTAGCTTTATATAAATTTAACGGTGTATGTTTAATTGGAACAAAGGACTGCCTGTTAGTACAATCTTTATCAAGTTGGCAAAATACTTTCATTAATGTTACATTGCTAGATCGCCCGATTTATAAGAGAATATTTGGGTCGGTGGATGACCAGTCTTTCTCTACGGCCTGAAGTATACAGTGCGTAACTTATCATGGAAAAGTTAAATGATTAGCATTGCTTCGTGAAATTTGATTATTTACGATCATATACTGTAAGGTAAGGAATGCTATTGTACAGTTAATTTCACATAATTAAGGAACCCGATTAGTGTAATGCGTATTGCATACGGGTAGATAAAGTACGTAGAAAAATGTATTCACAAATAACGATTATGACCTATATAACTGAAAACGACGGTGGATACGTAGATGTGACGAAGCCCTATATAGTATAAGAGATTCCCAACAGCAATTATCTCGTAGATCACAAATAGGCAACGATCCGGTATGCAAGTAAAAAAAGCGCTACGGTACCATTGGACATGAAATGGTAAGAACTGAGTTCTGGTTAGCTTAGGCGGCATCAATCGTGTTGACATATGCGTATATTTGAGAAATTTATCAATAAGAGAACATATCTTATACTCGCTGTAGGCAAAGGTATAGAAATAATGCGTGGTAGAAAGGATTTATATTCGCATACTAGTAATCTAAAGTTATCCGTGTACTATCGCTTGAAAATATTAAAGACTCACTAGCACGTAGGACATAACTTATCCGATATTAATGAAATAGCATTTCGCTGTTGTACTATACCACAGTTATTAACTAAATAAGACTTTAAGGACTTATACTATTTACCGGTGTATTTAATGGTAGCTATAGAAAATTTGTACGGTAAGTGAAAAACAGTTCCTTACAGGAATCAATGCGATAAAATCTGCGGGTATATGTCGATTATTGATCAAGAAAAACTGTTTACTCAGTTATCTTTCATCTTAAAAGAATGCGATAGAAGAAATATTACACGATCATGGATTACTTACGGCTATTCCACACCAAATAGGAGCGGAAATTCTGGCACCTAGGGTATAATATTGTTCAGATGCGATGCTAAAACCTCCAATAATAACACTCGCTACACCATTTAGTAAAAGCAAAACCACTAATAACGTCATAACGTAATGGTGATTGGAAATATAGCCATAGTGATATAAATTTTTAAATTTAACTGCCATTGCAACCTGTTAATATAGACTGTTAACAGAATTGGAAATTATAACATTCGAGGTATCTTCTGCTGAGTTTTTTTCATACGGGTATACTAGTTAAATAATTGCTGCTTTTGATTAGTTTGATAATCGCTAACGTTGATTATTTTCTACATATCTTACGCTATACTTCTAACGGCAAAAATATATAATGCCATCATACATTGTTGCAATATTATAATTATTTATTTGTTGTCTGGCAAATACAAATACAAAACTGGTTCAGTATTGTTATTTAAATGAAAGGCAATGGAATACAAAGAACGAACGTAGGAAGCCCGAAGCCAACGGTACCTTTATTTCTTAATTTTAATGCATAATAAAACATCATACTGTCATAAATTTCCCCGCATACTGATCTAATTACAAGCTATTTAGTAAAAATTTGAAGAGGAAAAAATAAATCTAAGGCTGTCTGATTTAATATTCACCATTTTTCATTACTATAAAATCTAATCTTTAACTCTTCATCAATGTTGTTAGAGAGAGTACAATACAACATTAAATAAAATCGCTTTTAATCTCACAACGACAAGAGATCCAATAAAGCTTTAGGGCGATTTTATTAGCGATTACCTCCTTTTGATTATTATAGTTAAGTCTGCAAGGAATATAGCAAACTATATTACAAGGTGTGATTATTTGTGATATAGTAAGTAAACAATGCAGGTCACTTAAAATCTATCATAGCTATCAATATAGTAGTACTGTAATATACTAGTTTCTAGTTCAGTTTAGTGAATATTTACTTATTTATCAATATTGATAAGAATTTTATACCATATCTATTGAGATTAGCGATAAATGTAGCTGTTTCAGTAATTTCGTAAGTCGTTAATTTATCAATCTTGATTCATTCCATGAGATGAATATTATCATTCTTACAGTAATTTAAACCATAATCACAAGAAGGCAACCATCATGTGTTCGGTATTTTAGTAGCGAGTAAATTGTATATGACCATAAATACAGTTTTGTATGCATATATATACTTAACATTTCTACAACTTGACTGCAAATTGAACAAATGCCAGTACCGAACTAAAGATGGTAATTGAGGCATCTCACAAATTCAATATTCGGACATGTCCTCCATTTCATATTGATATCTATCAGTAAAGTATTGTGCTTTCAGTTTAAGAGTTATTCAGCTTTGGTAGATCACTAATTTTCTAATATGACCGAGCTCTGACCTATTTCATATTGTGGCAGACTAACTACGTCAAGTGAATATATTCTGTTGTAAAAAAATATGAGCCAGATTACTGTAAAACAGCGGTAAGAAAGGGACGAGCAGTAACATTAGGATTTAGTACCGCATTACTTAATGAAGGGCTACTGCGATAGAATTCTAAGAATGACACTATACTCGTAGAATAGCGTAGTAATTGTTCAAACTAGAGATATATTCAAAATCTAAAATCTAATTGTCGTATTATAATTAATCGAAGATGAGAAGCTTCTTTCGCTTATATTCTTGGCATAGATTTATGATAAGTTTAACTTAGAAAGCATATTCATTTATTACATATGATTATGCTTTTCTAGTACATATTACTGATAATAGTAATAAAGATACCAAAATTTTGATCTCTAACATCTTCATCCAAAATATTGCATATTTACTCTAAAATAAAATGCTCTGCTCTAGATTGTCAAACGACTCAAGACCATTTCTAACAATTTTATTCGTAATATTATGAATTTTAGTGGATCACTTTTTATCTAAAGAATACAGCGCTTTCAAATTAGTGATACTTCAAGCGAGTTCATTTAATGCAATCACTCCCAGTGGCCTATATTAACAGCATGACTCAATTCTAGTGTCATTATTTAAGATGAGATAAGTAGATAATGATCATTTATTAGGAATCTAGCAACTTTTAACTTTTGTTTGGCTATAAAAATTACTTTTATTGCTCTTCTTGTCAATGGGTGATTAATAATCCGCTGAAGTACGGTAATAAAGGATATCAAAATGAAGATTAACTCTTGAAAGTACCTTATCAACGTACTGTAGTTAAATTCTAATTGAAATCTGACACTCTAGTATTACGTATATACAATTATTACTTCATGTCCAATTGGATCAACACAAATCGGTTAAATTAGGATAAGTGTTTATCAGAGTTAAGAATCATTTTTACTAATCGTTTACAATAGCAATAGTATCTATACAATGCATTGCTGAATGATTGCTGTATACGTAGTTAGTAAAGTATGGAAATAATATTTTTCTTGACTGTATTCTTTATAGAGATTTCAGCTGATCACAGTAGTTGAGTTATTGAAGAATATAAGGTTAGTATGAAGTAAAAGCATTATGTAACGTAGAATAATCGGTTGTTGACAATAAAATAAGTATCGGGTAAGCTGGCATGATTAAATCGCGTACCTCTACTATTCACTTTGTTTGTATAAAATTAAGGGTTAAAAACCCTATCATCACATACCTGCATTTATAGACTACAAAATATGACAATAGTTATATAGATCTATATCTTAAACTGTACTACTCCGTTAAGAATTATCTATTTTTAGTATCATTATATCATAATAAGCGTTACTAGATTTGAACATACCCTTATAGGTTGCAGTGATAATTATAATTTTGAAGAACATGCGATATGGTATCCAGATGGTTAAACTTTTAATGTATGAAGATCTATGGAAATTAACAAAATTAATTACTCGATGATAGCGATATGAGAGACAGTAGAGATGTGGCTAATTACTTGATTTAAAATTAGCTTCAAGCAAATGCCTGCTGCATTTCAACGGAGCATGCAAGGAGTTGATATCTTAGAAACTTACAGTAAAATTTGTTCGCTACATCGTAAATACGAGGAGATATATGAGCATAATTTGAGTTTTAAGTTACGATCTCGTATCTGAGCTTTCGCGTATTATATTAAGCCAAAAACTAGTAAAATTTCCGTTCGCCTATTTTAGATTAATGGAATAGTATGCTTTATATTACTCATATCTTTCCTGTGATCATTGTCATTTATCATATTCATATCCAAATAAGTCGTTCTATTGTATAATTATAAATTTCTCTAGCCTTAATTACGTATGTGCTGGAAATTGAGTTAAACTCTTAAATTCCGCTATTCTATATATTACTGAAGTTGATATACCAGCATTAGTAATTACTGCATATTCATATTTTCATGGCTAATGTATTGATCGTAATACCCATTATAAAGTGGTTGCAGTCCAAGATTTCAACAGTGGAAAATTGAGATATCAGCTTGCTTTTCCTTCTACTATAAGCGTTTAAAGATTACGCGTAATAATACAATAAATTTTGAACGCAACAACTAATTTTGCATTGCCGCGTTATTCAGCATATGAGCCTAAGTCTGTATAAGGAGCGCTAACTTATAATTCTATTATTAATCCTTGTAAAGCAATAGCATTATGGATAAAATGTTATTGAATAGAGCTAATACTAATCATTCCATCATACGCTCAGAATATCTATAAGGTAATACCAGCCGTTGTCGGAGCCTCCAACTCAGACCAAGTACTACCGACGTATTTACTATATTTTTGCACATACCGTAACATGTCTCTGTATGCGACTTGTATACAGTACATATTTGTATATGTTATGTTATATATATATAATATAAATGCGTAGACATTTATAATATAGGATAGCAATGGATATGCATATTTCTCTTCAGAAAATGTTCTTTCAATCTTATCCTCAAGGACTAAGTTACAAAGTATAGTTTAATGATTTCATTCCGTTAATTATAATTTACTTCCAGCATATTTATTCATGAAGGCCTATCTTACTGATTTGTTTTATTTCATATTATTTGACTACTGTGTATTATAACGTATACACAGTCCTTGGTGCGACATCATTCAGGTACTTGCACTTGCGCAATTCTTTTACGAGTCGATTGCATAACCATGTCATAACGTAGAACAGTTGATAGTATAGAGTACAGGGTGTGAGGAAAGTCATTTGATATTTGATATCCTAATTATACATTAGAAATGAATTTTTCATACATTTATTATGGCACTGTATTAATTAGCCAAGCTCTGAAAGATCTGCATTATTTTAGAGACCATAATAAGAGAGAGAGATGACAATCTAAGTTATTTCATAAGTAAGAGGCACAAAATCGAAGACTTAAGAAGGGCTACTTGACCATGCTTCATCATTTGCATACTGATAAAGTCGATTTCTAATATTCAATGCCTTTCCAACCACCGTGTACACCAGGCAAGCGACGATTTGCTAAAATAAAATACAGTATTGGTCCAATATGAAGTAAAATATATTGCAATGTACTGTATTCTATCGATAGTAAGCATACTAGTGGTGGATTATGTTGTGAACAGCAAATACCTGAGTAGAATAAAAGTGTCTCAAAATAACAATCTTAGTCAAATAGTATTCTCTAAAAGGCTTTTATTACAAGATTTTAGGAATAGTAAGGCAATTATTAATTGCTACAAGAATCTAGTCTACTATTGGCAGCATTCCAAGCTCAAAGCGAAGTGAAGTCTCTTTTCTCTCATGAAATCATCTCTTCAGTTCTTACTGTACTGTGCTGTAAGCTCATCTCTGCAGTTCTTACTGACTGTACTGTACAATAATGTACATGTATATGTTCTATATTATATATCCATTTCGTTCAATCCATTTCTGACCACCTGATTAATGTACAGTCCAAGCAGCGTGAACATGAATCATCAAACAAAATACCTTTCTCAAATAGTAGATCATTATCTTTTACAATGTAAATCATTCTACTTAAGATGTCACTACTCTCCTATTCAAGTCTAGTCCCTTTCTCCCAAGGGCATCTTAACCACTACAGTGTTTCTAGCCACATCAATTTTGTACCATAATTAGTCCATTGGCTAATATTAGTCATCCACAATTTCTACGATAGTACTGTCGTTGGCAATCATCGAATATTAGCTTCGCGATAACATCGATTCACAATAACCGAACTACAGCATATCAAATCTAGCTATCGTTATAATCAAATATGGGTGCATCACCACACTGACAAAAAAAGGATCACTGGTAATCACTGGCGATTGTGGGAAAGAACAACATGGTGACATTAATTCAAAAGAGGGCGTAATCCGATATCGCAGCGATTGATGGCAGTGTCGTGGTGATCATTTTGTCTCATTTTTTTTCACAATACAGTACAGTATAGTACAGTATGTGCACTATGCTGTCGTCTGTCCGCACGGTAGTCTGTCTCTGCCCTACAGTGTACAGTGTACAGTAGTCCTATCAAGAAAATTCGGAAGTACTGTGCTCGACAGTACAGTTCCATTCACTTTCCATTTGGCTACAGTACAATCAGCGAGGTCCAAGGAATGTGCATTGTACTGTACGGTACTGTACGGTACCAGCAGACGTGCTATTGCACAACGTGCTAAATCGTTTATTTATAACTTTGGCCACGACCAGAGTCCGCGTTTTATTTACGTTTGGTTAATCGCCAGTGATTAATTTGTAGAATTTGAAAAATTGGTGGAATTACCTTGTACATTGGATTACTACAGTTGTGACTATTGTACGTTAGAATTGACCTGATCTTAGTGGTAAAAGTCTCGCAGTTGTATCAAATCATAAAGTAGCCTTGTTGATAGTACGATGGCGGAAAACGAAAATGAACAGCAACCACCGACCAAGGGTCTTCCTTCGTTTCAGAAAGTTTCCAGAATGTGTTTGGTATTAACTCTTGCCGGTATCGCCCTACTGGCTTTAGGTTTAGGTGAACACATCACTGGCGATGGTACAAAAGTTCCTATTACTACCGATTTACATTATCATCTATTTTGGGCTGGTGGATTTGTAAGTTGAAGTATAGTATCGTAAGATTAAACCAAAGATGAATTAATATTATTATTCAAGTTGAAAAGCGTTGAATGGTCTTTGAACGTAGCTGTGCGGTATAGCAAGTGACAAAGTACAGCGGCGATTGAATAATTTCCTTGAGGAAAAAGTGTGAATGACCAAATGATTTCCTCGGAGAAACTCAATTTTGACTTTGCTATACTATAAGTAGTAATGGTATTATTATTATTATTTAATTAAACCAAATTGGAAGTAGTGTATTTTGTACTACATGGTTGTATTTTGGCAGTTACCCAAACTTTAAAGTACCAGCCACAATATTGACTGCTTGTTGTTTAATAATGTAGAATGGACTTTACACTCAGTTTGTTTGCCTTCTTTCCAATTGCGCTACAAAATTCAGAACGATCAAGTTTGCAATTGGTAGTAACAATTCAGTTTGGCAGAGCAGGAAGTTGATTCCAAACATGCCATTACTTACCACGAGCATGTGGTTGACTATATTAATATTACTACGGTATTTTGTTGTCTTATCTCACAAAGAAATTGCCGCTATTCAAGAAGCGGACCTTTCAAGACTATGGACAGTACAGTACTATAAATAACATGAAACATCTCTTTCCGGCGTTATAGTTGCATGGAGATTTCGCATGTTTCCTGCGCGATATCGTGTCCATGAATTATTGCAACGCCATTGAACTACTGTAGTATCATGGAATCCGAAAAATTTTTTTAAATTGGGGTCTAGTGGAATACAGTACAATGTAGAGTATTGGCTTTTTGCCCATTCAAGAAGCTTACTGTCGAGGAGACTACTCTACTGTATGTGCCATAAGTAACATGAAACAACTCCTTGACAGCATCATAGTTCGATGTACAATTGTGTTGCGATCAATATCATTAGGATGAATATTTTTCTCTAAAATACTCATACTCGTTGTGTATTGAATTTGTGGTAAAAGAGAAGTACCTTGATATTGCCTTACAAATAAGGAAAGACAATAAGACCTATTTTCTCCGGGATAGATGAATATCCTTATTGATGAAGTACTAGACCGTATTGCCTATGGGGTATAATTTTACCAAACTGGTAACTCTTTTATGGTAGTACAAGATTCGCTCCGTGATAGAGGATAACCGTAAACAGCCTATAAGATAGTCACTACTCCATGATTGATCCATGAACGAGAATACCGCACTGCGAATTGCTACTTTTGTA